TCGCAGCAGTCTGGTGAAGAGATAGAAGGAGAAGGGAGCGCGGTGGTGGTGGCAGTGGCTGAGGAGAGTGGGGGGATTAGAGATGGTGGATGTGGAGAGAATGAGGGGAAGGTTTGATTTGTAATTTAATTTAGGATTTGAATGTGTGGGCCGTGGGGTGTGTATATATAGATTAATATATTATTATATTTACAATATTTAATTATTAATTATTAATTAAAACCTGATTTCTGTATAACTAAACTTGATTCTTGATTTATGAAAATGGAAATTTAAAACCCATTCTAGCTATAATTTCCTCTTATTCTTTCCCAAAATTAATTAGACAATTTTGACAATTTGAAAACCTGATTTCTGTATAATTAAACTTGATTGCTGATTTATGAAAATGAAAATTTAAAAACCTTTGTAGCTGTAATTTCCTCTTTTTTTTGGAGAAAATCTTTCAACATTTCTGGCCCATGTTTGATCCACGTTTTACAAAAATTCATTCTTTCAAAACTCATTTTCAATCACACATTCTTCAATAAAATAATATTTTCATCACATCCAAAACTTTTCCTTATTTTTTAACCACACGTTCTCTATCAATCTACTATTCCAAAATAATATAGCTCAAATACACCTAGTAAGTAATAACACGATATAATCACATTATATTGTTAACATTCTTTAAAACGAGGGTCAAATATTTAATCGCATTTTTACAGTATTAATTTTTTTTGTTTATTCAAAAATATAATAGATAAATACGTCTTTTTAGTCAATGAAAATTTTGGAAAGAAATCATCATGGGTGGATCCATGATTTTTTTTATAGGAGGACTGCAAATACTGTCAATGTAATAAAATTTATATTTAACAAAACAAATTGTTAAAAGATATTATTTATTTAAATTGTTCTCGAGAATTTGAAACATAATATTCATATATAATAAAATCTAGATTTATTTTCTCAACAAATTATATTTCTGTAAAAAGTATAGTACAATTAGCAAATTTCCAAATTAATAGGAATTCCCAATCCCTGAATCACATTCGGCATTCCCTAATCTAGACGGACCCCCACCAATTACCAAAATAATCAAAATCAGTCCTTACTCATTAGCCCATCACCAAAATATGAAAATAATCCTAATCCCATTATCTGATTCCCTACCATTACTCATTAGCCCTAGTAATTGGGTTAAAAGAAGTGGAAATTACATTCAACCAAATTTTTTAAGTTTCTACTTCATAAAAAGTTTTTTAATACAAAAATAAAATTATAATATAATTTTTAAATACTAACAACAATATTATAAAATTAAATAAATTTACAAACCCACCACCCACCAAAACAACTCACCCCATCCCCGATTTAAATTAATCTACACAACCCACCCGACCCCACAACCTACCCTATCTCATTCACCCCAAACCTTAATGTTCCTTTCTTTCCCTACAACAAAAAACTCCGGCATTGAGGCATGGCATCGGATGCGCAACGGAGTTGAGGCTCGGCGCGGCGTCTCAGTGGTTTTGCCTGGTCAGAGCGCCGCTTGTAGATATGAACTTTTCTCCGACAATGCAAATCACAACGATGATTTGAACTGTTCTTTGGTGTTACCGATCACAATTCAGCTTGTGGAGGTTCCTACTGTGATTTCTGTGGATCTCGGTGTCACTTGTGGAGGTCGCTACAGCGTTGCAATCGGTAGCGGAGGTTTATATGGTGATTTTTGCGGAGGTTTCTGGTGGTTTTGTAGTGATTCTGTGACATGTTTTGTTGTGGTTTTTGAGGTTGTAGTGGTGTAGGCGACGGTGGTTATGGCGTTGTGGATTTTTTTTGTGGGGTGGTCGTTGTGGTGTAGTGTAGATGGAGATAGAGGTGGCGATGGTGTGTTGTGGATGCGATGGTGGTGTGTTGTGGGCGTGATGGTGTGGTGGTGTTGCAGGCACTGTGGTGATTATGGCGAGGTGATGGTTGTTCTCAAGGCGGTAGTGCTCATGATGATGGTAAGAAGAATGTTTGTGATCAATTATTTAGGTATTGTGACCAATAAATTGTTATTTTATGACTAGTAAATAATATGTGGCTAGAAGAATGCGTGATTGTTACCAAAAATTTGGTAAAGTGTGACCAATTAATTTGATAATTTGTGAGCACAAAAAAAGTTGTGACATAAAAATTTGTTATTTGTGACTGTAAAATAAGTTCTAACCTATAAAAATTGGAATTTGTGACCGATAAATAAATTATAACTCATAAATTTTTTTATTTTTAACCGAAAAATAATTTGTGATCAATTAATTTGATAATATATTATCAGAAAATAAGTTGTGGCCTATAAATACGTAATTGTAACCATAATATATTTAATTAATAAAAAAATCAATTAATTATTTCATAAATAAAATTATCTAATTTTTAAATTAATAAACATTGTTTCTTAGTTTTTAAATGGGTCATACTTAATTCCTTATATATGAAATTTTCCCTTAAAAAAATTTTGTGGGTTATGTTGGAATGGGCTGAATAAATAATTGGGTCTGAACCAAAAAAAACTCCACAAATTGGATTTGGGCTGGAGCTGGTCCAGTCCCCCGCCAAATCCGTCCAGGGAAATCATAATCATGACCAATTCATATAAATTTGAAAATAAGAATGTGATGAAAAAAGTTTGAGATATAAATATAATAATATCTAAAGGTTATGAACATTTCATGTACATTAAAATGTAGCGTAGTTATTAAAAATTGCAGTATGAATATATTTAGGGCTATTATATTGTCACCACAATTTTTATTTGATACACCACATTTTAATTGTGGTTAAGCTCATCGATTTTTTTCATCGAATTCTTATTTTCTTAATTTTTTTTCATCGAATTCTTATATTCAATTTTCAATTAATTAGTACGTCTCGCCCTTAATGATGGTTTATATCAAAATATTTTATTTTCGTGCTTTGAAATGAGGGGAGAATATTTTTCACACTCTTTGTTATTTATTTTTTAAAAATATGATGAAAAATTATGTTGTTTTACGTCATTTCGATTGACTTTTAGATATAAAACTATTATCAAATACAAAATGTACTAACTAATGAAAAATTTGAGGATAAGAATTGTATGAAAAACTGTTAGAAACATAAGTGCTATAATAAGTAAAAATTAAGAACCCTAAACACAATGTGATGCAAAAAATAAAAATTGTGGTGTGAATATAATTACTCATATATTTAACATTTATTATGTGTTAAAAGTATTAAATACCTTTCATTTGAAATGTCTAAAATATCCAATTTAACCAAAATTTACCAAATTCCCAAACATAAATCCCCACTTTCATTTTCACTTTTCAATTTAAAACCAAAGGCAAAACGGCGTGTTGCCTTTTTAAACGATCAAATGTTATTTTAACTAATTTCGAGTTGATTTCACTTTAGGGATGTTTGATTCCCATTTTTTTTCAAAATATATTTTTTTTCTCTCTTCATTTCAACCACATATTCATTATTAAAATAATATTACACGCAAATCAAAAAAATTCCTTCTTTTTTAACCACACATTCTCCATCAATCTACTATTCTAAAATACATTTTTCAAAAAAATGAGGCTTAAACATCCCCCTCATATTCCCTCGTATCCATATGAAAATTAATGAAAACAAGTTTTAATTATATATGGAGTGAATTGAGAGTCTATAATCTGAAACGACATATTGTCATTATAAATTTTTCGATGACGTTTTAACTAATTTCGTATCCATTTCATTTTATATTTTCTCCCGCCCACATGAAAATGAATATAGACAAGTTTTCACCATATTTAGAGTAAAATAGTTACCATGTGACCGAAAATGACGTGCTGCATTTTAAAAGGCTGTGTATCGTTTCAACTATTTTTTATTTTTGTTTCATTTTATGTTCACTTGTATGCATATGAAAATTCACAAAATCGCTATATTTCGACACCAAAGTCGATACAAAAATACACGCGATAGTGACCAACAATATTGTTCCGTGAGTAAATCAAACTAGCCTTCACTATGAATTAAGGTAAGTAACCCAAATTCTATGGCATTCCAATTATGAGATGAGATACTCAACAATTAGCTCGCTTAATTTGTATAAATTTTTTAAGATTTTCCGAGATATGATTGACTAGTTTTGCAGTGAAATTGAAACCCCTTGACCCAAACAGTATGTTGTTGTTTTTGTTCGTTTTACTTTGTATCCACTTGTATCTACATAAAAATGAATAAATACAAGTTTTTAATACATTTAAATACCAAAGTCGATACAAAAGTTCACCTGATAGTGATTAATAATATTGTTTCGTGAGTAAGTTACACTAAACTTCACTAAAGATAAAATGTAAGTAACACGAATTTCATTATATTTTAACTATAACCTTGGAAACTCGGTGAAAGGAGAATTTGTTCAAAGCATTTATATTCACACCACATATTTTGTTAATAGGATCGCATTTTAATTTTAATGAATATTCTCCGTTTTGCTCATTTTTAACATTTACGTCTTTAACTTTTTTCATATTAAAAAATAAAAATCGAAAGTTAATTATAGCACACCTTGTCTCTAAAAATGTTCTGTTATCATACAAGAAGATATTTTGTCAAACTTTTATATTTGTTTTATCTTGCTTATTTAAAAATACTAGGGACAAACAAGCTTTTTTACTCTCTCCCAAGTAATTTTTTGGCTTTCATTAGACATAATGTACAAACTAATAGAGGTCGATGAAAAAATACAGCAAACAAATTGGGGACATAAGTGTGAAAATGACAAAGTTAAAGACATTTATTGTAATTAATATGCTTTTGTTACTTGTTAGTTCCCAAGCTTTATCCTTTGGGCCCATAATCTTCCTTGTACAATTCTCCAACATAAATGTTACATTAACATTATAAACCAAGAAAAATCAAACAAAGGCTGCTTAATGCAGTGCTTTCTGTATACAGTGTTTCTGTATGTTCTGTAAATAGTCCTATTTTTTTCAAAATCCATAAATATTCCTAATTTGATATTTGATTATAATTGGAACTAGATTCCATTGCATTTTCAATAGTGTGAGGATATAGCTGAACTGGAATTGCCATTGAATTCGTGGAGGAATCATTTTGAAACGAGGATTCGCAGACATGAAGGCCTCAACTGATAAAGCTTGGGAACTCAACGCCAATTCCTGCCGAAAACCACCAGAAACGCCAGCATTTCCGAGCCTCGAATGCCAGCCCCCACCAAAGCTAGCAGCAAGCACTCATTCACCACCCTCGCAACTGGACCTCCATCGACCCCAGTAGATGAGCAGCAGCATATCTTGCAAATTCTTTCACAGTTCCAAGGCTCACTGAATATCAGTTACCAAATTCAGTGGTTTCCAGGATCCAAAATATCCACTTCTATGCCAAGAAAAAGGGACAATGGAGAGCCTTGAATAATAGACAACTTGAATTCTTCCTTTAAAATCATAATTACATTTTCTTGGTCAGGCACATTCACAGCATGAAATTACTTAAAATGCAGCAATAGGAAAAGTTGTTCAAAGAAACATAAATGCGGCAATAAGAAAAGTTGTCAATGAAGCAATAGGCATCAAAGAGAAAGAGCACGAAATATAGAAACACAGACTTTCTTGCACAATTTTCTAGAGTTTGCACTTGCTAGCAATGATCCCAACTTTAAGCTCTCAAAATCCTCAAGGGAGCAAGATTTAAAGCAAACAAGGAAAAGAAAATGAATCTTCAGCCTGCTGCATATATAATTTCGGATTGAGATTTTGAGTAATTGGTTACATAATCTTATTCTGTAAGAAGAAATGACTTTCAATTCTTCAGCATAACAGAACTTTAATCAGACAACCAAACCATAACATAAGAAGCTTAACGAACAGGGGATTTATTAAACTTTTTAATTCATTCATGTAAGTCATGAACTCAAAACAAAGAACTGCTTCAATGGAATAGCAACCACCAAAACTATATTAGGTAATTCTTCAAGATCGAAAGAAGACAGATACACTAATGGTATGTTTGGTAAGGTGTATCAAATGGAGTTGAGATCTAATGTCCAAAATTGACTGTCCAACTTGTGATAATTCATTGACACATCACTTTAAATTAACATATACAACTTTTCTCTCACTGCTACTTGTGCTTAAAAATAGGTGTAAAATAACGTGTCAATGAACCATTGGTGGATCACAAGTTGGACAGCAGATCTCAACTCTATTAAATGACACTTAACAATATTAATGAAGAAAATTAAAGCACCTTAAGAGCCTGTTACAAGTCCAATGTTAAGTCTTTGAGCTTCGCAGAATTAATCGTAAAAAGGATAGCAGCAATGTTGTCAGCATTTACAGCAATTGCACAGCTTAGCAGATTAGCATATAATAACAGGTACAATTTCAATGCCAAGAATCATTGGTTAATCTGTGGATTTCCAGCTTAGCATATCACAAAAATTATTATAATTTTTTTCCTTGATCAAACGTTTCTCTTTACAGATAAAAAAGAAGAAGCAATTTACATTCAGAAATAAAGTAACGACAGAACCATCTACTAACTGCTAAAATCCTGCACGATTGAGCAACAAGCACATAATATTTTTTTCAGATGGGCAATGAACAAGAAAACACAACAGCTACACGATAATAACACTTAATGAATGAGATGAAAACACAATCCTCATTCATATACATATAACCAGAAAAGTTCTATAAGTAGCCTAGCATATAAATATTAAGTAATGCTCGTCCTTGGTGAGAATTAGAAGTCAATGGCAACAGCCAGTGCACCGAATCAAACCATTCTCGTTGCAATTAGAACATCTCATCAATTCTCCTTCTTCGTCTTCATAAACCTTCCGACTCCCATTGCAATTTGGGCATGGTACAAACCTTGCATCCCCACAACTATCGCAAACAAACCCCAAATCCATAAGTGGAAAACCTTCCACTAGCTTAGCCAACGCTCCTGATTCATTAAGTTCCTTAATTTCCTCTGCACCACCAATGTACTGCCCCCTGACAAACACTTGTGGCAAGCTTATTGCCTTCCCTTTTAACGCATCCTTCAACTCATTTCTGTAAGACAAGTCCATAGAAAGATCCCTTTCATCTAGACACACATTAAAGCCCCTGAAAATCAACCTAACCGCACAACAATCCTCAAAAGTCTTCCTAATGCCCCTCAAAGTAGTATAGTACAATACAATTCTATCCTCAGCACCCGATAAAGAACACGATTCAGTACTACTGGACACCGGAGAACTCCCATTATTAGTCTCCAAAGCTTCAATCTTTGCTTGTCCATGTTGTCTAGCCAACAAAGCGTTTCGATAACTGGAGACCACGTTGGAATCCATTTTTGCTAGCAATGATTCCTCGGATAAGTGCCTCCGAAACGGCTTAGATTCGCCGTGCTCCACAAACTCGAAGGATTTCACTATGTCGCTTGCATCCATCTCTGTATTGCGGGGTGTTTTGGGGAAGTCAATGATGTGGAAATCGTCATCATCAAGGCCTCCCATTAGTTCCCAAGTGTTGATAACTGAGTCTGGGGATAAAGGGTCCTCAGAGTTTTCAAAATCTTGTTGGGTGAAATTGATATTTGGGGAGTCGATTACCACAATCGAACCATGGGTGGTAGAGGTGAGGGAAACAAAGTGATCGGAATCCCCTTGGCATAATGGTGGGTGGTGGACTAAAGGGGTAGGCAAAGAAAGAGTTCTTGAAACGGGGGTTGAAGAAGAATAAGAATTTGAGGAGGGATTTTGTTGTTGACCGATGAAAGTATGGGGACGAGAAGCTGAGCTACCCATGAGGATTGGGAATTGAAAAGAAAATGAAAACTGATCCCTTTCTTTCTCTTTTTTTACAGAGGTCAGAACTTGGATACTGCAATTGCTAGGTTTTGTTGTCTTTTTTCCTTGCGTCTTTGGCACTGATTTGTGCTGTTAATATGTGGATTGAATGAGGAATTTGATTAATGGGGAAGAAGAGTAGTGGGGAGGGGGCTGTCGAGGGGAGGAGACGAGATCGTGGGGCAATGGAACCTGGTTAGAAGGGAAATAACTCACGATGGTGGCGATCTAGGTGCGTGTTTGGCTACTTCAAATACTCACTTATAATTAAGTTGAAAAGAAAATGAGTTTCTTGCTAGTTAAAGTTGAATAAGTTAGCCTATGTTCGGCTCATGGTAGCTATGTCAACGAGCCGAGCCGAGCCGGAAAAAAAAGCTCGGGCTCACTTCAAATACTCACTTATAATTAAGTTGAAAAGAAAATGAGTTTCTTGCTAGTTAAAGTTGAATAAGTTAGCCTATGTTCGGCTCATGGTAGCTATGTCAACGAGCCGAGCCGAGCCGGAAAAAAAAGCTCGGGCTCACTTCAAATACTCACTTATAATTAAGTTGAAAAGAAAATGAGTTTCTTGCTAGTTAAAGTTGAATAAGTTAGCCTATGTTCGGCTCATGGTAGCTATGTCAACGAGCCGAGCCGAGCCGGAAAAAAAAGCTCGGGCTCACTTCAAATACTCACTTATAATTAAGTTGAAAAGAAAATGAGTTTCTTGCTAGTTAAAGTTGAATAAGTTAGCCTATGTTCGGCTCATGGTAGCTATGTCAACGAGCCGAGCCGAGCCGGAAAAAAAAGCTCGGGCTCACTTCAAATACTCACTTATAATTAAGTTGAAAAGAAAATGAGTTTCTTGCTAGTTAAAGTTGAATAAGTTAGCCTATGTTCGGCTCATGGTAGCTATGTCAACGAGCCGAGCCGAGCCGGAAAAAAAAGCTCGGGCTCACTTCAAATACTCACTTATAATTAAGTTGAAAAGAAAATGAGTTTCTTGCTAGTTAAAGTTGAATAAGTTAGCCTATGTTCGGCTCATGGTAGCTATGTCAACGAGCCGAGCCGAGCCGGAAAAAAAAGCTCGGGCTCACTTCAAATACTCACTTATAATTAAGTTGAAAAGAAAATGAGTTTCTTGCTAGTTAAAGTTGAATAAGTTAGCCTATGTTCGGCTCATGGTAGCTATGTCAACGAGCCGAGCCGAGCCGGAAAAAAAAGCTCGGGCTCACTTCAAATACTCACTTATAATTAAGTTGAAAAGAAAATGAGTTTCTTGCTAGTTAAAGTTGAATAAGTTAGCCTATGTTCGGCTCATGGTAGCTATGTCAACGAGCCGAGCCGAGCCGGAAAAAAAAGCTCGGGCTCACTTCAAATACTCACTTATAATTAAGTTGAAAAGAAAATGAGTTTCTTGCTAGTTAAAGTTGAATAAGTTAGCCTATGTTCGGCTCATGGTAGCTATGTCAACGAGCCGAGCCGAGCCGGAAAAAAAAGCTCGGGCTCACTTCAAATACTCACTTATAATTAAGTTGAAAAGAAAATGAGTTTCTTGCTAGTTAAAGTTGAATAAGTTAGCCTATGTTCGGCTCATGGTAGCTATGTCAACGAGCCGAGCCGAGCCGGAAAAAAAAGCTCGGGCTCACTTCAAATACTCACTTATAATTAAGTTGAAAAGAAAATGAGTTTCTTGCTAGTTAAAGTTGAATAAGTTAGCCTATGTTCGGCTCATGGTAGCTATGTCAACGAGCCGAGCCGAGCCGGAAAAAAAAGCTCGGGCTCACTTCAAATACTCACTTATAATTAAGTTGAAAAGAAAATGAGTTTCTTGCTAGTTAAAGTTGAATAAGTTAGCCTATGTTCGGCTCATGGTAGCTATGTCAACGAGCCGAGCCGAGCCGGAAAAAAAAGCTCGGGCTCACTTCAAATACTCACTTATAATTAAGTTGAAAAGAAAATGAGTTTCTTGCTAGTTAAAGTTGAATAAGTTAGCCTATGTTCGGCTCATGGTAGCTATGTCAACGAGCCGAGCCGAGCCGGAAAAAAAAGCTCGGGCTCACTTCAAATACTCACTTATAATTAAGTTGAAAAGAAAATGAGTTTCTTGCTAGTTAAAGTTGAATAAGTTAGCCTATGTTCGGCTCATGGTAGCTATGTCAACGAGCCGAGCCGAGCCGGAAAAAAAAGCTCGGGCTCACTTCAAATACTCACTTATAATTAAGTTGAAAAGAAAATGAGTTTCTTGCTAGTTAAAGTTGAATAAGTTAGCCTATGTTCGGCTCATGGTAGCTATGTCAACGAGCCGAGCCGAGCCGGAAAAAAAAGCTCGGGCTCACTTCAAATACTCACTTATAATTAAGTTGAAAAGAAAATGAGTTTCTTGCTAGTTAAAGTTGAATAAGTTAGCCTATGTTCGGCTCATGGTAGCTATGTCAACGAGCCGAGCCGAGCCGGAAAAAAAAGCTCGGGCTCACTTCAAATACTCACTTATAATTAAGTTGAAAAGAAAATGAGTTTCTTGCTAGTTAAAGTTGAATAAGTTAGCCTATGTTCGGCTCATGGTAGCTATGTCAACGAGCCGAGCCGAGCCGGAAAAAAAAGCTCGGGCTCACTTCAAATACTCACTTATAATTAAGTTGAAAAGAAAATGAGTTTCTTGCTAGTTAAAGTTGAATAAGTTAGCCTATGTTCGGCTCATGGTAGCTATGTCAACGAGCCGAGCCGAGCCGGAAAAAAAAGCTCGGGCTCACTTCAAATACTCACTTATAATTAAGTTGAAAAGAAAATGAGTTTCTTGCTAGTTAAAGTTGAATAAGTTAGCCTATGTTCGGCTCATGGTAGCTATGTCAACGAGCCGAGCCGAGCCGGAAAAAAAAGCTCGGGCTCACTTCAAATACTCACTTATAATTAAGTTGAAAAGAAAATGAGTTTCTTGCTAGTTAAAGTTGAATAAGTTAGCCTATGTTCGGCTCATGGTAGCTATGTCAACGAGCCGAGCCGAGCCGGAAAAAAAAGCTCGGGCTCACTTCAAATACTCACTTATAATTAAGTTGAAAAGAAAATGAGTTTCTTGCTAGTTAAAGTTGAATAAGTTAGCCTATGTTCGGCTCATGGTAGCTATGTCAACGAGCCGAGCCGAGCCGGAAAAAAAAGCTCGGGCTCACTTCAAATACTCACTTATAATTAAGTTGAAAAGAAAATGAGTTTCTTGCTAGTTAAAGTTGAATAAGTTAGCCTATGTTCGGCTCATGGTAGCTATGTCAACGAGCCGAGCCGAGCCGGAAAAAAAAGCTCGGGCTCACTTCAAATACTCACTTATAATTAAGTTGAAAAGAAAATGAGTTTCTTGCTAGTTAAAGTTGAATAAGTTAGCCTATGTTCGGCTCATGGTAGCTATGTCAACGAGCCGAGCCGAGCCGGAAAAAAAAGCTCGGGCTCACTTCAAATACTCACTTATAATTAAGTTGAAAAGAAAATGAGTTTCTTGCTAGTTAAAGTTGAATAAGTTAGCCTATGTTCGGCTCATGGTAGCTATGTCAACGAGCCGAGCCGAGCCGGAAAAAAAAGCTCGGGCTCACTTCAAATACTCACTTATAATTAAGTTGAAAAGAANTCGAAAACTTGCACGCCATCTGCCTGACACTTTAAAAACACTTTGCCACATATACTAAGTTCTATGTATTACCAAATAACGTTGCTATATTTAAATAAAATTATGTGGTAACTTTCATTCCTTTGTTGCTCGTGTACTCTTTATGCGCAAACACTATCGTGATTTTGAACTTAAAATTTTATAAGCGTGCTTACAACTATTTTGCTTAGCCCCTGTTTGGCGCAAATTATTTGCCCAAAATAATGAGAATTATAACCGTTAACCATCAAATTATTTGAAAATTGTTGACTTCTCAAATCTTGTTTGGGGCCCTACTTTGACTCCAGCGATTGAAATTCTCATTCTTTTGCCCAAAATAATGAGCCTCAAACAGAGGCTTAGTCCCTATTTGGTTTGAATTAAAATTTCAAGTCAAAATTAACAATTAATTTTAACCATATATTTTATGGGATTCATAACTTTTCAACTATGCATTTCATTAACTTTTATCGAAATTTACTAAAATCTAATTTTGATTTCTATCAAGAGTTTGATATCAAGGATGTTGGCCTTACCCTACATGCAATCTAATAGGTTATTAAGCTATCAAAGTTTTGTACTTTCGTTTACTTACTATACGAATTGTTACTTTAACCACATGTTGGTTTGATTTAAAAAAATATATTTGAAAAAAAAAAAAACTTGTAATAGTTCTAAGCATCTGTCTAGGTATTATTTTATTTTTCTAAAAAATTATTTTTTAAGAAATGAGTGGTAAAAAAATGAATAGTACTTGCAAGTCATATGAAGTATGTGAATTAAAATTTAATCTTTGACTTTAAAATGAATTTTTTAGATGAAAAAAATAAATCCCAAAGGAAGGCCAAACATGCTCTAATTACCTTTTCAATGCGTGGGTGAAGTGTTTGATTTGTTTATTATCAAAGGAAACACATGGAGTCAATATCCGAAAGCAAATAGATTTTTATATTAGACTTACGTTACTTCAAATCTACGTTTAATCGCGAAGGGTATAAATATAACTTTTGACCTTAACTTTGGCTATAACGAAATTCGAGTTCAAATCTAAATTAATTTAATAAACTATATAGTTAAAGAAAAATATATTTACTATTTGAGAGAGTATGCGTACCCATGTATGGAAAGAATGATGTAAAATGCATACTGTGTTGTAAATTAATTACTAATTGTAAATGATCATTGTACCGATGATTGGAGAATTGGTGATGGGTTTTCTAGATATTGGAGTGAGGGTGGGGTGGGGTCTGCAGGTTTATACAAATAAAAAGTTTGGGTTTAATCTGTAAAAAATTGAAAAGTTTGAGATTGCGGCTGCAATTATCCCTTTTTAATTTTGGACCGA